TATCTTCGTTAAGTCTTGGCACCAATAATATTGGTACCATATGTGGAGAAGCAATTGCAGGGGTGCTTCGTAAAAATAATTCCCTAACATCACTATATCTTCAAGGAAATAATATTGGTGATGAAGGTGGAAAAGCATTAGCCGAAGCCCTCTGTACAAACAGTGCTCTAACCACTTTAGATCTTAGTAATAATAACATTTCCGATGAAGGAGGAAAAGCACTTGCAGATGCGCTTTGCAAGAACACCACTCTGACTTCTTTGGTTCTCGATTATAATCCTATTTCACCAAAAGGTGGAATGGAATTAGCAAAGGCGCTTCATAAAAATACCACCTTAATCTCTTTATTTATTAGACAAAATAATATTTTTAATAGTGGAGGAAAACCAATTGCAAAGGCACTTTGTGTAAACAATACCTTAACTTTTTTAGATCTTTCTGATAATCAACTTAATTATAAAGCTGGAATCTTATTAGCAGATGCACTTTGCATTAATACTGCTTTGACCTCTTTGGATCTTCAATGTAATCATCTTGGATCAGATGGACTAAAAGCATTGGCAAATGCTCTTTGCAAGAACACTACGTTAGCTTTTTTAAATCTCTCCGATAATTATATTGGTTTTGAAGGTGGAAAAGCATTAGGAAGTGCACTTTGTGAGAACATCGCTTTGACTTCATTAGATGTTTCTAAAAATAATCTTGGTTCTAAAGGTGGAGAAGAATTAGCAAGCGCTCTTTGCGAGAACGCGACTTTAACTTCTTTAAATATTTCTTATAATCATCTTCATTCCGAAGGAGGGTTAGCATTAGTAAAAGCACTTCATAAAAACACTACTTTAACTTCATTAAATTTTAGTGGCAATAGGATTGATACTGAAGTGCAAAATCGCTTACAGAATTTCTTTATATAAATATTGTCTTATCTCCTTAGACCTTTTTAATATTTAACCTTCTTTATATTACCTTATGTTCTTAGACCTTTTTTATATTTAACCTTCTTTGTGTAAATATTGCCTTATCTTCTTAGACCTTTGTTATATTTAACCTTCTTTACGTAAATATTGTCTTATCTTCTTAGACCTTTTTTATATTTAACCTTTTTTATGTAAATATTGTCTTATCGTCTTAGACCTTTTTTATCTTTAACCTGTTTTATGTAAATATTGTCTTATCTTCTTAGACATTTTTTATATTTAACCTTATTTATGTAAATATTGTCTTATCGCCTTAGACTCTTTTTGTATTTAATTTTGAAAGATTAAAAATATTAAAAGCGACACTTTGTGAAAATATTACCTTAATTCCCTGATGCTTTATATCGATAAAAAAAATATTGAAAAATATATCAAATAAATTGTTGAAATTATCGGAATAAAAGTAATAAAGCTTTTTATTATAAAATTACCAACATGTAAAATAGATAAATAAATTTAATCAAATAATATTGTCCCTTGGTTTTCTGATTTAAAAATAATGCGAAATATTGATTTATTATCCAGCAAACTCTTATGATTATGAATTGCCATCTGCCTTGTTATTTTTTTCACGTGTTGCAATTTATTCAAATTAAAACTCAGTCTATGACTTCCTACCAATCATGATCATAAATTTCCAGATAACACTAATATTGGGCAATTTGTCGAATACGATACTTTGGCTCAACCGGGCGTGTTCATTTGCCCTGGTTTGCCAAATTGCCGTTATCAATAAATTTTGCCCAATCTTGTATACTTATTTAGGCACTATCGTAAAAGAAAAGAGTGATACGTAACCGCTAGTGCCGCAAAATCTAACTACGAGACGATCAAAGGCGCTGTTTAGGATCGTTAAGGCTATGCTTTTGAGCTTTGTCAAGTATATAAACTAAATTAATGGTGCCTAACGAATGACGAATCAGTTGTTATTGGGAAATTACGAAATCTTTCATAAAGTAATTTCAGATTGATGAATCGATAAACATATGACAAATGACGAATATTCTCTTTTTTCTAATTTACTTTTATTTTTTTTTTGACACATTTTTGATGAAGGCTCTATTCCATTACCAGGTACAATTTTGCCCAGAGCTATGTAAAATTTTTATAAAAATTTTATTAAATTTTATTTAATTCATACAAACTCACATATATAATATATTTCTACAGTATATGAAATTGTATTTTAAAGATTAGGTTTTTAAATTTAGATGAGGATTTGGGTAAGGTATTTTGACACTTTATTTAGCATATCGAATACCGATTGCCTTACTGGTTTTTGAGAGATGTAAATATACATAAAATATTAAAATTTTTATCTTTAGGACACAAAGATGATTTTCGTTTTGTATTACCCGGCCATTTTGCTAATTATTCGACTTTTACTGTTTGTTTTTCTGTCATTTTATCTGGTATTACCCGATGGAGACCTTACTTTACGGTAAATATTCAATAAGACCGAAAGAAAAAAACGACTGCCAACCTAATTTTCTGATCCTTGTTATTCAAAAGAAACTTAAATTTGCATAGCCTTAAACGTGAACGTGATTCTATTAATTTTAAAGTAGATTTTAAAAAAAATCCGACTGACCGACTCAATTTTCAGATTCCTTGCAATGCAAAACGAAAAATTAACTTTGCGGGGCCTTATAAATAAAATTTAGTAATAAATCTTTTTTAACTTGATGCTTTAAATCAAGTTATCGTAATAATATTTTCGTTTTTTGTATATATGTAGCTTTCGTTTAAAAATTAACGCACTGTCTGTACGTACTGTACGTACGTACCTAGTTTAAAATTTACCGTAAAAGTCGGACACGTGTACCCGGGTATTTCCATTTCTCAAATCTGTACCCGGAGTACCTCTATAGGGGGGTACACCGTATTGAGAAGATATGCTTTACTATTTCTATCTGGGATGATACATATACTGCTTTTTATACTGTTATTTGTCAATATAAAACTAAAAAACGGATGTATGCTAAATTTATAACCAGGCAAAGATTCGAATCATATAGGCTAAAGATGATAGACAAGTATTGTTATGCTAAATTATCTACATAGATTGTGGCTCATACCACAGCTGCCGACAAATGATTCGCTCAAAAAATTTATTAATAATAAAAATTCGAAAAAAAAAAAATTTTATTTATTAATAATATTAATAATAATAAAACGTGTATTTTAAATTTTTCTAAAATATCAATATTCATCTAACCACTTTTTAATTATGCGTATTATAAAATTAAATAAAAAATTCTTATTGATCAAAATTTTAGGACTAGGGTTGGGCAAATTTTGTAAGTTACATTTTAACTTACATGTAACTTACATAATTTCACAAACTTACACTAAGATATACATAGCAATTTAAATATAACTTACATGTAACTTACATCAAAAATTTAAAACTTACACAAAATGCCCAACCCTAAGTTAGCTTAGAATTTAGAGTTAGTTTTAATAATAAAATGTATAAATAGATTTTGGTAGGGCTTATATTTTAAATTAAGATCTCTAATTTCAAGCTTCAGTCATTTCAAGCTTCAGCCGTAACAATTAATATCTGATATACTAAATAAAAATATTTAGCATATTAAAAAATCTTTAATAACTTAAATCTAATTCTAAAAGTTTAATTTTAAAATTTGAAATAAATTTTTTATAGATTATATAATACTAATTAAATACATATTGTGATAAACTTGATTTCTGATAAATGCTAAATTAATTTTTTTTGATAAAGTCTTGCTTCGCAAACTTTATTGATCATATATTTATTTATTTTACGACTGCACAACTTTAATACGTATGCATCTTAATATTTTTGAAGCTCAGACTATTTTATCTGTGACCTAATTCTAGCAGAGTAAACTAATTCTTCTTTTTTACCTTTGTTATTTATTTCCAAAGTCGAAATATAAGGATACCTATCTATTTTACTACTTTCACTAGATCGCTAAAAAAAATGTATTCCAGTATAACATCAAATAGTACTACAATTTTATTAGTCAAATTTTAAAAACAAAAATTTAAAATAAACATGTTTATTTAGACATACAACCTTTAAATATATAATTAAAAATTGGATGTCTTTAACCATAAAAATGATGTCTCAATAATACCAGGTATTTTTGTGTTTCATTATAAATTTTTTATAGGGTATTTTAGGTAAAGAGCTGTGCATACGTACGTACGTACGTACGTACGGTATTTTTTGTTTAGTTCCAAAGTATTCTCATTGTAGTTCCAGATTCTTAAAAAAAAAAAGGAAAAAAAAAAATCCCCGGGATTATTAATTTAAAAAAAGTTCCAAAATTAATTCTTTAAATAATACATATTGTGATCTGCAATATTTATTTGATCGAGTAAGAATAATTCCAGAAATTCATTTGAAAATCTTAGTTCGGGTTTACATAACTTATTTATTTCATTCATTCAATTTGGACTAAAATTATTGGTGTCCTACTTGTGATTGTGTCACAGCTTTGACACCTCCGGTGAATATAAAAACTCCGCCATATATTGCGCCAACTTCTTTTTTTTTCTTTTTTCTTCTCTTTCTGCTTTAAATAAACTTGTTGCCTGAGGATAAAAGAATACGTACGCACGTAGATAGGAGAACTCTTTTTGTTGCGGACCAGAGTTGGTTTATGTCACGTAGGTTCTCTGACGCTCCGAGCCTCACTCCGCAAATATTATACGGCGTTTCTTATGAAACCTATAGAAAATATAAAATAATAATATAATAAAAAAAAAAAAATGTATAATTTTGATTCATGTGACTTTTGAAATTAAAAAGAATTTTTCACAATTTGCATTAATTTTTAATTTCGTTTATTTGTCAATTTAATATGTTTGTTTATATAGTGATCCCTTCATTTACTCGAAATGGAGTAGGTTGATTTATTGTATTTTAATACATAATTATTTTAATTTTTGCATGAGCCTTTAAAATTTAAAGCTATTTTTTTCTTAAATAGTTCAAGTCAATCGAAGTTTTCCCATGTACATGGCCCCAAAATGGGATTTGATTTAGAAAGCGCAAAATTGGCCATTCCGCAAGGACTTTCTCTGTTACCCGGAGAAACCATTGAGTTTATAGCAAAAACCTGCGCGATAAAACTTTTTGAAGCTACTGCTGATGGTGGTTTTAAGGAATGTGATGATGGAATCGGCGAATTTTATGGTCAGTCAGATGGTGCCGCTAATGAGGTAAACAACTTCTTAATCCAATAAATTAATCTACACGTTTCATTGGCCTCTTGTATAAATATTTTATTTATCTGATTCGGGTTTATATTCTATATTATTATAATTTTTTTATGTCGTCGATTTTTTCACAAAGTCAACAGTATTGATCACCAATTATCGAACATGTTATCGACCTGTAAGAAATTCCTCTACGACATCGTTACATCCACAAATAGATTTGATGCGTTCTACTACACAGATTCCACATCTTTCTATATCTCAAATTGAAGAGTCACAAGCTCAAATTACTATAACTCTCAAGTTTTCACCGTCAAAATATTTGTTTAAATTCTCAAAACCAAAACCAACCGCATTAGTAGGAAATTTTATCAATATCCGAACCACCGCAAATTCCCTCTGTCATGATTTTACGACTATAATGAAACGATTTGTATATCCAAGTAGTTTGGAAAATACTTTTGCTTTTCATATGGGTGAGGCGGAGGTATTTAAAAAAAATGATCAGATAAAACGAGATCAGAATATTCAACGTATTCGTAAACTATCATTAGAGGAAAAAATCTTTGAGGAATTATTTGGTGGTCTGAGTAGTGATGAAGAGGATGATGATGATGTAATAAGAAAAGGCTTGGATGAATCTGTTTTCAAACGAACCCGTGATTTGGGCTGGTCTAAAGGGTATAGAATACAAAAGGAGTTTGAACGGATGCAAATGAACAAAAATTCATGGTAATATTTGTTTAAATCAGTAAAAATCTATCTTCTATCATTGTTTCTCATACTTACTATCATTTAGGTGCATCGAATCTATTAATGAAGATTTTTCAATATCTCCAACTTATCCCCAAGATTTCATTTTACCAACACAAGTTCTTAAAGAAACGTTAGCGAATTTAAATTCATCTAGTACTTGTTCCAATCTATCTAATACTTCACTTGAATCACAGCCTACGGCTGGTTCGCAAACTACATCTGAATCACAATCAGGTTCTTCTTTCTTCGAAAATCTTGCTAAGTTTCGGTCTCGTGGACGCTTTCCTGTTATTTGTTGGAAAAAAGGTCATAATGTATTGATGAGGAGTGGTCAACCAATGGTTGGATTTTTAGGATCAAGAGGATTTGAAGATGAGACACTAATGCGTGAAGTTCTTTCTACTGTTGATGAAGAGCATCAAATTTTAGCCACAACGATAATAAGAAAAGGTTATGATGGGGATGAATTCAATAATCATAGATTTTCTAAACATTATGGAGGTTTTTATGAGCCTTGTGGTATGAAATTATGTGTTTTAGATGCAAGAGGTTATGCGGCAGCTCTTTCTAATGGATATCAGGGGGGAGGATATGAGAATATAGGTATTTAATTTTATTCATCTTAATTTATTAATATATATCGAATTTAATATTTATAATCAAATAATATTGTATAGAGAACTATCCACAAAATACGACTTTGCAATTCCTCGGTCTTTCAAATATTCATAAAATTGCCTCATCGCATGCCGCTTTATTAAGCGCAATTACAACTAATGCTTCGTCACCAAATTGGTTTTCGGTACTGAAGAGTACAGGATGGTTGGATCACGTGGCTGATTTACTCAGATCTGCTGGGAGTAAAGATGGTGTTGTCGGAAAATTAGTGGATGAAGATGCTAGTGTTTTAGTGGTATGTAAATTACTATATAATTGTCATATTTGTATTTAATGTTATTTTACGAAACTTATTAATAAATCCTGCTGTTGTAATTAAAGCATTGTACAGATGGTTGGGATAGGTAAGAATTTATATTGTTTTGCTTGTGATACACTTGTAAATGTTGTTATTTATTTTATTTTATTTTTTAATATCAATAATTCATAAAGAACCACGCAATTGGTTTCACTGGCTCAAATAATGGTGGATCCATTTTATCGTACAATTAAGGTATGTCTCTAATGCAAAATTGTTTTTAATCTATTTGTGATAGCATTTTAATAATTTCTTTGGTTAAAATTGGATAATAGGGTCTACAAGTGTTAATTGAAAAGGAATGGATCGCTTTTGGACATCCTTTTCGCTCACGTAGTGAACTCCCCAATAATCTTTGTAATAGTGATCCCAGATTACATTCAAAGAATAAACAAACATCTCGTAATTTCAAAGAACCGCAAAATTTACCGCCCGCCCCTGCTCCTGTGTTTCTTTTATTCCTTACTTGTCTTCATCACATTTTGGAACAATTTCCATCAGCATTCGAATATAACGACTTCTTTTTGCTGTGTCTTGCTCGAGCCGCGGCAGGAAATTCCCCGTTTGGTGATTTTCTATGTAATTCGGAATGTGAACGAGAAGCTATACAATTAAGAGAAAGAACAAGGAGCATATGGTCATGGGTCAAAGAACGTAGGCAATGGTTTAGGAATCCACTATATCAAAGAATTCGTCCATATGACTTAATTCACCATAATGATCACAGTACGTGGAGTGATCATTCGTGGAAGAAGGATGTTTTGCGTCCAGACACTGATGCAAGAGTTATTACATTATGGACTGATTACTATTTCCCAAAAAATGATCTATCAATTGCATTACTATCAACGCCCTATGGTGCTGATGTTGAACTGGAAGAAGGCATAGGACCTTCTCAACATCGCATTGGAGGATTTCCTTCAGAATATTACCTTGTCAGCCTTTTCATGAAAAGAAAAAGGCGGAGAATTGCAGAAAAAGTTTGGACGGTTTGGAGGTCATTTTTATTAGAAAACAGACAAAAGTCATTAAAGACAAAGAAAGAAAAAAAAAAAGTAGTAAGCGATGAAGAAAAGTGGGACGTTCTTCATGGATCAGAGTGGAAAGATGATGCGCCAAATCAATCGCAGGATGTACAGGACAGAACAAGTATGGATCACGTAAACAAAGACTTGGATAAGAATTCAATATTATCCTCATCACTGCAGTCAACTTGTGAACAATTGAACAATTTACTTTCAACTGATTTTGATGATGATATAGAAGAATCAGAAGATGATACAAATATAATTTTATCTGGAGAAATATGCGAAAGCCAATTTTTAGAATGGGTTCATCTATCCAGTCAAGGTAGCGAGGACTCCGAAACAACCAGAATATTGGCGGAATTACTTAAAGAAGCACAGTTGGATGGACTTTTATCTCAAAGTATATGTCAAGACAATGAATCTTTGACGGAATTATTAAAAGAAGCCCAATCAGAAAATCAAGTTTTTTGCCAGAACGTACATTCAGATACTGAGACGCTAACGGAATTACTTAAAGAAGCTCAATTAGACAATCATTACTTATGTAGAAGTAGATGTTCAAATACCTCATCTATTAACCGAAATTCCACTTCAACAAACCTTACCTTCAAGACACCAATAAATCCAAACCTTCATTCGATTATAATAGAAAATAATAAATCACCAGATGAAAAAGATTTTGTGGGTATAGTGTCATCACCAGAACCATTAAAACCAATTAACAAAAGCTCACCAGATCTGAGTGAATTTGAATTTGTGATTGTATAATTGTTAAATTATAAAAGAAAAAAATCATGAAATACCCAAAATTACCATATCAGTATTATTTTTTTGCATTTAATATTAGTATTTTTTTGTTTTATTTTTTTATTGATTTTTTTCTTGTCTATGAATTTCTAAACTAATATCGGAAAAATGAGACTTTTTTATTTTCATTTTTTTCAATTAATTCTTGAAACAGCATTCTTACAACTATTTTGTAGATATAAGCATTGTATATCATAATTTTATAGTTTTTTTTAACATAGACGTTTTCTATTTTTATTTAAACCAACATACTTTTGATAATACTTTTGTAAATGTATTAGAGTTTAATTGGTTGTGTGGGGTTTATAATGCACTAATGCTGTTGTTTTAGTTATTCAAAAAAACAAATAAATGAATAAATTGGTAATTTCTCGTTATCTGGCATGTGACGAATACATGGGCATTTGCAGAATAGTAAAAGCACGCGGTCTTCGGCACGTGTGTTACTATTATTCTGACCATTATCCGCTATTTCATGTCACTACTTTTAAACAAATTTGCAAAAGCATATTCTACACCATTTTGATGATAGCAAGACTCGTCGAATTGTGATCTTAACCTTGCACACAATTTACGTCCATTCATTTTTTATTTTGTATATTTCTTAATACTGGCCAAATTTTAAAAACTATGCTAAAAATTAGTCATATGGGCGGAAATTTTTAGTGGAGTGCTGTGACTATATAAAATTAGGTGATATAACAAAGTAATACTTATAAAAACTGATAAGTAACGGATCAGTTTTGGGTTATTTTTAGCTGATCTGTTCGGTACATTGCTCATAAAAACTGATAAGAAACTGATAAGTAACTCAAAAGCAATTCATAAGCAATTTTACAATCATCGACAAATAATCACTTTTAATCTTAGTAATCACACTGTATTATATATATTATTGGCCCAAATTCTATTTAATCTCATCATTCAACTTATCTAATCACAAACTAATCATCAATGCTACACTGATCATCAAACTAATAAAATCAAACCATAAGCGTAATGTACTAATTACTATCTGGAAATTTTTATGAAAATCCGAATTTATTGTAATTTTTGGTACAGTTTTTTTTTGAACTAATATAATTATTGCCTGTCGAATTTTGGCATTAAACCGTTTAGAATAAAGTAATAAAGGCTTTTTTTCAATTTATCCCATATACAAGTAGTTCTTCAACAAAATGAACAAACTTTACTCAAAAGTAACACCCATGAATCTATTAAAATTTGTAAACCACCAAGGCTATTATCAGAAAGAGAGAAATAAAATTTACAAATTAAACAAAGATATGATATAAAAATTTCATTTTCTTTTGGGGAGGGTCTTGCCCATGACTTTATTTATTAGTATTACTTATTACATGTATTGCTATATTATGTATTACTACTGTACACCAAGCTCAGACTTGTACCCTATTGGTAATCTATGCTATGGCTGAGACTAACATTTGTAATCAGGTGTCTCTTAAACCGCTACTGGTCATCTATTCATTATCTGCACCCAAACCTACCAGAGTGATGAGTTCTTATAGATATTATTCACCTGGTATTTTTCTACTCTTCACCTGTCTTATTTTAGTATTTTACTGGACTATTGTATATTCACCACTTCTTTTATACTACTTATACCTAAGCTTTCTAATTTAGTAAATCTTTATAGATACTGTAGTTTTATAACCTATTTTACAAATTACTTTCAATTTTGATAAACTTGAGATAATCCTGTTAGCTAACTAATACCAGTACTGTTTATAGTTTAGGAGTTTTATGGTCTAGTAATTAATGCTCAGTTTAGTTAGTATACTGCTAATTTTTGTTTATTAGATACTTCTATATGCTAGTAAGAAACTTGCCATTTTCATTACATCTATAACTTTCAAATAATAGGTTTTATAAAATGTTTCAATTTTTCTAAAATCTCAAATAATTTTGGTATTTTCACTTGCTTTATACTTTTTAAATAGTAGAGTACTAGAGATATAAACCTAGTTTAAGCTTGTGCTATGAATTATTTTCAATTTTATATTTTGTATTTTTTTCTATTTCTGATATACAAGCTCTTTTTTATATACAATTATATTTTTAGCCTAGTGTTTTTAGCCATTTTAAGTTTTTCAAGTTTTAGCTTGCCTTATATTATAATATTTTTTCTAATAAATCAAATAGTTAATATTAGATATATTCTAATTTTAGTTAAACCAATCCTTTACTATAGGTTGTTTTTGTGTTTACCACTTTCTTACTACTTCAGTTTGTATTATCTTTAAGTTATCAACCTGAGCAAATATCTCACAAGTTGAGTTTAAGAATATTAATATTGTCTATATTTCTTTAAAATTTATTTGTATTGTAATATAACATGTTAGACCTTTGGTTAACAAGTTATCTTACTTGACTAAGTGTTCAAGTAATTAAAAAATGGGTTTATATAATTTTATAATAGTATTACAGTACCATGGCCTTCTTAACAGCAGCACTATAACAATAACACAGCTACAGGGATCCTTCACAGGTTTATAGCAGTATCCAACAGGTAAGTATAATTTCTGCTTCTTGAAGAAACTATACCATTTTGTCTGTAGCAGTTCAGGCAAACAATAGTTTATAGATAAAATATATGTTTATTAAAGATAAATAAGATAGGCTATCCTTAGGTTTCTATTCCTAAAGAATCTTATAATATTACAAGAGAGAATTTAGAGAAAAGAGAAGTAGGATAGACAATAACAAGTCTGTTGTTATTTTAGGTCTAATGTTAATTTGAAGAAATTTACAGCCTTTTTATATCTTTAGGGCTAATCATTAATTGTTGCAGCTAAGCATAGTTTACTTAGTGCTAAGCGCTAATTGTAATCACTAATCATTAAGTATTAAATGTTAATCGTTAATTGTTAATCACTAAGTATAATCGCTAATTGCTAAGCATAATCGCTAATCATTAATTGCTAAGTGTAATTGCTAATCGTTAAGCGTAATTGCTAATTGTTAATTGCTAAGCATTAAGCATTAAGGCTAATCGTTATACATGTTTTAAATTCTTTTCTAAAATAAATATAATAATAACTAATAACTAATAAAATACAAATATCGAAATAATAAAATAATACTAAGATAAAATAATAAACTAATAAAATAAAACTGTTCTATAATAATAGAAAACAGTTTATAAATAAAATAAAATATAGGATTTAACTCTTTCTGACGATTCTTTAATCAACAACAACAAAAACTGAACCATAGCAAAACGTATAGAAAAGTGATGAAGTAGATACTAAAACTTGGTCCTATAAGTAGAAGCAGCTTGTTGTCAATGAAGTCTAAGCATCTAGACGTGAAATACTGAGAAGTAAGTGTCAAAAGAATACGGATGATTTTTTTTGAGATCAAGTTTTCTTTCTAGTAGACTCCTCAAAGTATTCAGCATCCAAACCAGAAGGTTTATTCTAGAAACAAGTCTGTAGAAGTAGCTAACATACACTTCTAAGTAGTAGAAATAGAGAAGCTGGACTATACAACTGTAAAACTTACAAGAAAAACTTTACATACTTTCATTAGCCTACCACTTTTTTATAAGTAAATTTGGATATTCTATAGAATAGGTGTCAATATAAGAAATAAGCTTCGCTAATGATTAATAATCATTAATTTTTTAATAGCAGAGTTGCAGAGTTTGTAGAGTTTGCCCACCTATTCTATAGAATATCCATAAATTTTTGTAAAAAGTATGTGTTTTAGCTTATCTTCTCCAAATAATCGATATCACGTGTACTAAACAAATTGGCATTGTTTATCTCCCAAATCGGAATGTAACAACAAACATGTGTATATACGTGCTTTAAATATAATAGATATCCATACAAACAATGCTCTGAGACTCTGTTCTAACCTCTTTACCTTAAGCTGGTTAATAAAGTTTTTCCTATTGGGTTTTATTTTCGCATACTAGTTTACAGAAAAATAGAAGTAGAGACTAATTTGTCTAGTTAGTATATAATTTTTTTAAGCCATCCACAGGCTTATAACTGTGGCATTAAGATTAGCAAATTTTCTGTTTTGTTTTTGTTTTTTTTCTCAATATTCCTTTACCGTTTTTTTTCATTTATTGTATTCTTTTACTGTAGTTCCCTATACTTCTGTGTTTTTTTTTTAGTTTGTTCGTTTTATTTTCTGATTTTGCTTCTTGATGAGCAGGTAGCTGCCAGCTGATGAACAATGAAAAAAAAGTCTTTAGTGAGTTAAAGACCCTAAGGGAGGCCAAGAGCTACTGAAACAGGTCACACCTGGTATATAAAATCATGTAGGCAAGTTCTTTATTTGGTTGGATCTACTTAGAGATAAATTACTTATAATTTTGAATAACTTGATCCCAAATAAACAAGAGCAGGATAGCCAAATTAGAAAAAAATAAATAAAATAAAATATTTTTAACTTATTGCTATAGCGATACTTATAAAAAAAAGTTATAACAAACAAAATTTATAGACTTAAGATAGTTTTATTAACTCAGATAATATTTAAAAGAATAACACAGATAAACAAATATATAACTCAAGAAAAATACAATAGTTTTCAAAAATTATCACAGAAAAGAGGCTTATTTTTAACAAAAATAATATAAAAATATTAAAAATAGAACTTATTTCTAATATAAAATTATAACAAAAATAAAAATAAAACCTATTCCCAAGACTAAAGTGTATAATAACAAGGCTATAGCAACCAAAATATGGAGACCAACTATTCTCTTATCTTGAAAAAAGAGGCAAAGTTTATATATCTTTTTCTGATATATTAAATTACTATAAAGTAATTAATTAAGAAAAAGCACCTTTTATTAATGAAAAGGCAAAAAAAAACTCTTTCCCATAGATCTCAATTTTAATAGAAAATAAAAACCGATACAACAAAAATTCTAAAAGCAAGTAAATAAGTAACTAAATACATAGTCAAGAAGACAAAACAAC